TTTTCTAAAGAAAAGATTATCGTATATTTAGAGATGGCGGCAAATAATGCAAGAGCATTTCGATTTTATACTAAACTCGGCTACACTGTTCTTGCTCAAGATCAATACACCATTTGGCTCGGTAAAAAATTGATATAAGTTATCACATTTTTTCTCTGACTATTCTGAGAACGATAACATATGTCTTAAGTTCATCAATTTCTTGATTTTGAGTTTATGATACTACAATCGACTATTCGTCTTGATTCTTTATGTAATGATTAAGTTTAATTGATTAAAGAATGACATGAACACTTACATTTTTAATTATTTTAAAAGATACGAAAGTCTTTATAATATGGAAAGAATAATCAGAACGAAAAATATTTATAAAATGCCAGTTTTATTCTTTAGAAGTTAGTTTAAAATATCAAATAGATTTTTTAATACGCACATTCTGTCTTACTTATCTTATACATTAGTTTGATAATAAAAGAAAGTAAAACATGAAAGTTTGTTTTTTTTTAAAAAGGGAAAAGAGTTATGGAAAGAATTTTTGTTCTTTCTTTTCTAAAATCATCCTCTTGTCAATAGGTCACTTAAGTAAAGTACATTTTAATGTATTTAGGAAAAACAAATAATTTTAAAAATAGCATAAAACATGAATATTTTGCTTTCTTAACTTTGTCTGTATATGTATGAAACGAATTGAAGATTATTTATCATTTGACGAAGCATTGTTGCATTGCTTGAAGAATAGTTTCATCATTTTGTTGAAGCATCATCTTAGGTGGATGACTCATGAAATGACCAAAAGCATAATTTGAAAGGAATTGTCCAAAACGTTGATCAGGTACAAGAGGCCAAAGTTCTTCAATTTTATTAATTATATTTTTCTGAAGTTCAGTGAGTTCAGAAGGTGATGTTGATGAACTTTGAGCCCGTTTGATAGCTTCATTTAAACGTTGTTCAGTTTGAGTATCTTCAGGATGAAAAATATCTCCTCGAGATTCTATCCAATCTGTCCAAATCCATTTTTCCAATAGTCTTCCCAATGTTAAAGTATGATCGTATGTCCACAATTGAGAAACAAGATCTATAATTCGCTTAATTCGTTCGAATTCTCTCATTGTTTTTCTTAAATATAAAATAAAACATGAGCTATGCAGTAATATTAATAGTGTTTTGTTTGAAAAATTTGTTACGATGATTATTTATTTTATAGGAACATGTGGTGACAGAAAGGAAAAATTTTACGATGTAACTATTTCATCAAGATGGAGAGTGATGATGAAAGAAAAAGAAAGAACAAGTATTATTGTATGCACGTGCAATATTTATTTCAGGATTCAACATAGGAGAGAAAAAAAATATCAGCTCGTTTCTTAAGGTAGCATTACCAAGGTTATTTATTATGACAATCGCAAACGACTGTATGCTAATGTTTACGATGATGTAAGAATACGTCAAAGTCAACACAATTACAATCGTATGATGTTGTATCGTATATGGTGAAATACATACATCATTTATCCTGATATCTGTGCCGTAATATGATCGTACATGACCGTATGTAAATGTAAATAACCACACAGATCATAATGAACTGATATGTCATCAATAAGTAACACCATACCTCCTTACTGGAACATCTACGCATTTATTCGTATATTCTGCACCAAACACTTTGCCACTATACTTTTATACAAATTGTCTTATCAGTATGCGCTTATCAGAGACAATAGAAAAGCTTACCATCGTTATTAGAGAATGTCTCCCTAAAACCAATGGAACGAATTGTTCATCGTGAAATCATCCTTAGGTTTTTTCTGTCGATTGATATATTTATCAAAAAGAACCCCCACAACATAAAAAATATTTGCAACTGGATCTGAAAATGCTGTAGAGTAAGCACTAAAGTGAGATAACAGATTTACCTTGATCATTAGGGTGGACCACTCTGCATAACATTCTAAACAGTATTCACATCCAATAAGATTATGTTTACTTCGTATCTGCTACTAATGAATAGTTACATGACTCTTCAGAATATTTTAGTAGATTTGCAAGAACTATTCAGATTTTATTAGCAAAGAAAGTTTGATAAAGTTGTTCAAGAATATTTCTTCTGAAGTATTTCATGTAAACGAAACACATTCGGTTTCGTAAAATCTCTTGAATTGATTGAAAGATCGATAATAAACAATGAAAATGAAGGTAAAAAACTGATATTTTACTTTGAATCGAGTCAAAATCGATGAGACGCTTGAATTATGCTAATTCTCTCAAGAGTTTGCTCATTAAACTGAACAACAATTGGAATGATATTCATGCATGTTATCTCTATCACCAAGAACGGCAGATACTTGTTTCGTCCTACTTGATTCTTAGCTGATAATGGCTCTCTGACAAAAAGTATAATTAAAAAAAAATTAATTTTCTTCAACAGCATTTATCTTCGAAAAAAAATGATTATGACAATTTAATGTCGCTCATTATGTTATATTATTAAGGTTAGATATGGCATTTATTTTTCTTGGTATATTTTTATTATATAAACAAATAGACACACAACATGAATTTGTTCATATTTTGAATGATGTACAAATGTTCACTAAAGAAAAGCCTATTGAATAGAATACAAATTTAGAATGAATGCAGTTAAAATTTATGTGAACTTGGCGTTGGATAAGACATTGGGCAATTCCTCAAGTGGATGCTCCGTCACTTGTTTTTGACGTGATAATGTTAGGGCATTTGCATCTTGACCATTACGTTCTGTAGCGGTAATATTTGCATTTGTTACTGGTTCAATACGAATATTTAGACGACGGCAACATACCATAGTTGATGCATTTACAATATTGAATAGTTCGGCTCGAAAACTTCGCGACACTAGTATATATAAATAGAATGCTGTAACAGGAAATAGATAGACACACAATTTAGCAAAAAAAAATGAGAATCGTTCAATAGCTAAACGGTCAGGTGACTTATTTGGAACATTGCTAACTATAGCAGCATAAAGTGTATAGATTAATTGAGGTGCTTGAACGAAACAGTAGACAATGACTTGTATAAATAACATAGCTAATGCATGTCGATCACGTGTACGTTGTATACGTTCATGACTTGTTCGTTGAGTAACGAAATTACTTTCGGTTACATGCTCTTCGCGTTTACTACGTTTAATGGCAAGATTATGTCGAATGAGTAGACTACATGTAATCATGATTGTCAAAGGAAAGATACCACCAGTAATTATAGTATAAGAACTATGATAGAGTGCCGCTGTTCGATCATATACAATAGCGCAAATACCGGCACCTGGACGTATCTCATAGAACACAATCGTATGAATAGGTAAGATAAGCCAAATACAAATAATAATAACAACTGCACGGCGTGCAATATGTACTTGTGCAAATTGTCGCAGACGTGCGTTTCTTGAACTTAATGCATATCGATCAATACAAGCAATAGTTATCATCCAACGAGTCATCATAAAAGTTGACTGCAGTATATAGACACGTGATTTACAAAATGCACGTATTGTTGTATTTGGATCTGGATTATTGAGAGTATAGAGAAGTGAACCACAAACCATACATAAACTTATGATCATGATTACTGATGCTCCTAGAAAGTCTGCAAAACAAATATGACATACTTTCAATGAATAAATGCTATTCAACAAAGTGCATCCTGAATTATTAATAAAACGAATGTAGTTCAGTCGTGACGGATAGAGAAGATTTTTCAGATGTTTTCAATGCTACAATGTCTACAAAGATTTAAAATAAGATCATTTTCCTATAGAACCAGACTATACTAAGTGAGAAATCTCATTCACCTTTTTTCTTTTTAAATTCTTCACAATTATTAGCATTCATGTACACGCGTGCCTAATAGTTATTAGACCATCATAATATCCTTGAGTTTTGATTGTACTTCTAATGTAAATAGGTAGTCGAACGACAAAGAAGTTCGTCTTATACAACAAAGTATGTATGTTCGAATCTTATCGCTGGAAAATATTACTATGTATTCATGCATGATTGCTACATATGCTTCGTTTTTTGATTATTCTAGAAATTTCTTGCATATTTATGCGAGAGTTCGTTAAAATGATGTTTGTATCTTCTCGTATGCAATAATAAAATGCATACATATGCGTAAATTTTCATTGCATGTCTACGTAAATATATTGTCATTTCTGACGCGTTCACGCTTATGTCACGTAAACGCAATTCATGCATGTACGTGTCGCAGTTTTTAAGCTTTTGTGTTTGCCTAAGTGACAGAAGGTGTGTTTTTAATTTGTAATCCTTCTCTGTCAAAAACAATCATCAGTATAATCTCATGGTTTCATTTGTTTTATGTCATTTAAAGCGTCTGAAACATGCATATTTTGCTAATATTCTCTTATCATAATACATCTGTATGGTAAACTAGATGTTCAAAGGATTCTGTCTAACTTTCTACTAGTCTCAACTAGATTGTAATAAACTATTGAGTGTTTTCTTTGATAAAGAAAGTATAAAATAGTTAAAATCTTCTGTTCTAGAAAGCTGTGTACTGCTAAAATAAAAATATTTTATTTATCAGTCAAACAATTAGGAAAGGTACGGACATCTTAAAAATAACGATTGTCGAATCTACTGAAAAGTTCACATGAACGAAAGAATAAATGCAATGTAAAAAAAAAGCGTTTTTCTTATGTGATTATGGTTTTATGTATTTATTTATTAAACAGCGTCGTTCATTTTAGTAACATTATTCAATTTCCTAGAGAAATATACGATCTTCTGACGTTATTGTGTTCATAGGACTATTCATGAATATGAAGAAACCTATTTCTCATTCTTATTAATATTGTTATTAAAAGAAGTCGATGTGTATCTAACACTTCAAAACTAGTAATCGTGCAGTATCACAATCAAAACTTATACTGATCCTCTAGTTGACGAGTTTTTGGTTACATTTGAGAAGCTTCGAAATTCACTACTGTAATCTGTTTATCAATTTATTCCATTTCCATATCGCGATAATTGGTCGAAAAACATTCCGTTAACCACGACTCTTATCTTTGAATTTCTCTTGTATTTCACTGCATAAATATTTTTAAACTCTTAGCAAAAAAATCAGATTTCCCCCAGACCTTTCCCTTCCTCCACTAATATTTGCTAGTGCGTTCAAGTCACTCGTACCAACTACATTGACTGCCTTTGCTTAGTTTTTGAGTTTAATTAATTAGTACAGTTAACGCTACAAAAATCGTCAAAAGACTTAACCAGTAGAAGAAAAATGCTACACCATTTAACATGATATACTGTTACAGATTGAAATCCATTGTTTGTTTTTTTTTGAGTAAAAGTCAATGTCTTCAATCAGACAATCTTAAATGAATAGCAAAAATTAATAATAAATCGATAAAACAAAAGAGTAAACAAATCGAACAGACTGATTTAATGAAAAACTGATAACATAGATTTTTGTGACCGCTATTTACATTGTCAAAAATGCATTTAGAAAAAAAACAAACGGAATTTTTCGAGAAATGCAATCTTCTATTAAAAAAAAAACCTTGATAATTCGAACGATCCTTGTCGAAGAAGCAAAAAAAACTCATGGTATTTGGTTTAGAAACAAGAGAAGATCAATGATGAATGTACATCGTTTAATTAATTTCTCACATTTTTAAACAATGGTCAAAATTTCTAAGTAGTTCAAAGCTACTTATACAAATACTAATTAATTTAATCAATCAGACTTACAATTGCAACACGATGTGATGCGTAATTGTCGTCTAGACAAAAGTATAACGTTCAGTAAACAGCCTGAAACGCCGAATAGGATCCATGCTGAACAAACATAACGAGTTAATTCTTGTTGAACAAAAGCCAGTGTTAAGCCTATCGATGATGAAGCCATTCTTATGGATAAAATTTCTTCTAGTTATTCTACTTCTTGGTTTCACAAGGTGTCAAAATGGTAAACAGCATTTTGGATAGTAATAAAACGACTTTATTTTGACGTCAGTCTCTATTGAAAAAGTGCAAATCTAGACACGTATGCATAACTTATCTATAGGCATGCGTGTGACAGGATAATTAACAAGAAAAAGTAACATGGTGAAATTGACAGAGTAGGATTTCATGTTTCTAATTGGAGATGTATATAGTTGGGATTCCCTCAAGAAATGACAGAAAGAAGATATGCACTACTATCTATTTCAAAAAATAATTAATATAGGTGTTTATATCAAGGTTGTCGAAATGTATTAAATTGATTCGAGGTTCAAAATTCTAGCTGTAGAGTGATAGTTTCTGATCGATATCCTCCGACGTAGCACAAATTTTTTTTTTGTCATTCAAAATTCTGAACTATATAGATATTTAAGTATCGAGATGATATCCAACTCGATATCCATATGCCTCCAAAGTAGAAGATTCCAAGTAAATTTGGTGTCTGTGTAGGTCTGAGTGGATGTGTATGTACATAAGGGTGTGAAAGAACTGACGACTCACATCCACAATCTAGTTGCATTCAAACATCGTAAGCATAGACATGCACGCCGTACAATGCTTGTGAATGCAAATATGAACTAGTCAGTCTCTGGCACATTTATATGTATGTTGTGCCGTAACAAGTCATCCAGGTGTCAGCAAAATAATCGTATGATTATACATGATTTTTTTCATAATTGCGAATGATTGAAAAGTTAAAATTATTTCGTGCCGCAACTTTAAAGTGGTTCAAAAAACAATTTCATCACATTGTCAAAATAACATCTTTGCTGAAAGACTTTTTAAAAAATGACCGAATGCATACTTAGAAATGAAAGGTTCAAAACCTTGATAAGGTACATGAAGTCAGAGATCGTGAATTCTCTTGATTAAATCTTTCTATCGTTGAGAATGATCAGTAGGTGATGACGACATTCGAGCTTTATTAGTTGCTTCATTTGAGTATTTTCAGGGCAAAGTCTTCTCTTAATTCCATCGAATCTGTCCAAATCGATTTTTCCAAAAGTGCTTTCAATATCTAAATAATGCCATACGTCGACTAGTGAGACACAAGATCGAAAATTTGTTCAAGATAATCGCAAGTGTAATCAAAAAAAAGCAATGATACCATTTTTTCATCAAATTTCGGAGTGACAACGAAAGAAAAAAAGAGAATGTCACTAGTACATATGATGTTTCCTGAGTGATTTAAAAAAATATGTGTTACTTTCTTAAGATAGAGTTGCTGTTCTTCCATCATTCATAATAAATAGGTGTTTAAAACATCTGAAAATCTTTTTTTTTCAGACTTTGATATCTTCGCAATACCCTCTCCTTCTCATAGGATTGTCTTAAAATATCAAAATATGTTTTTTTTTTCATTTTATATTTCGAACACAATTATAAAAATATTAACTTGACAATCATTTGTTCTTTTCTATTCAGCTACTATCAAATAGTAGAAAATTATTTATTTTCGATTTGTGAAACAGAAATCGAATGTTAGATGAATTTATATAAAACAATGATTTTAATAGTCATCAGTTCCCATGACTTATAAGAAAAACATTATAAAAGTAACAGTCTTCATTTTTATGTGACAATTCAACAACCTCAAAAGATATACAGAATAGTTGCAAGATTTTTAGTATTTATTATATCGACAGATTTTTGTTAATGTTTTCCTCATGTATTTGTTTCGAAAAATCTTTTAAACAATGTGTTTATTTTAATATGAGAAAAAGAAAAGTTCCTTAAAATTTATTCTCAATCTAAAGTATAGTTATTCTCATTTATTTGATGGACGATCGAAATAAATCACGAATTTTGATAAAATTATAAATAGCATTTTGATTATTGTTCGATTGTGTATTTATTATTTCGGTCATTTGCTCTAATCGTTCTTCTGGTTCTCGCAATACTTTTGGTACAAAGAGATCAACTTGTCGACACATAGTATCAATATCATTATGGATATTGTTTCTACTCTTAAAAACAATATTTGGTAGAAAATAAATACGAAGTACAAGTTGTTGATTTGCAAAAGTAATAAGTTGGCTACCGTTGATTAATATGTGATTTAAATCATAGATAAACAATTCATCTATAATAATAGCATTTTCAATAAAAATTATATAACCATAACCTCGAGTAACAAGTCGAGCAAATTTTTTACGACGACAAAACCATGATGAAAATATTTCGGCAAATTGAGATGAACGATTAGGTCCGAAAACATATTCTAAATATCTGTAATAAAATCAAATAATTTAAAAGAAACATAAGATTTTGATATTCTTACGTAATCCATTCGTTTCCATCGAGTCGCCATACAATTGGTCCTGTTGTTTGATCAAAAATTAAATTCAACTGACGATAATAATATTCATGTCTATTCAGCAAACGAATAGTACTTATTGTTGAAGTAAAAAAAGAAATACCAGTTACAACTATGCCAATAATGCATGCTATTGTCGAACTTGGCTTAATACTAGTCAGTCTTAGAATTAAAAAAATGAGCAAACCAAGACTAAGCAACGAGAATATACCAAGAATAATAGGTACGATCGTATACCATACTTTATAGCAACGTCGATAGGCAGCCAATACTTGATATAAAATATTTTTATTATCACCAAGCATGTCTACAATATCTATAGTTCAACAGATAATGATAGAATAAAATATATATACCAATATAAATATATATATAAAGATATGATAAATATGTCATAATCTTGTCAATAGCAACAAATCAACAATTTAAAATAATTATATTTCGAAATTTATTGAGGCAAAAATCGTGACATTTGTTTGAACTGTTTTAATAGGGTTGATAAGCGTATGGATTTTAATAAAAAAAAAATTATTAATAACAACAATGTGTCAATCAATAGATAAGTTTTTGTTCATATAAAATAGAAAATATCACGATCAATAAATATTGTTTTAATGAATTTTATAGTTTCACTTCATCGTAAATTTTGATTGACATTGTTATATAAAATTTATATGAGGGAATGTTTCAAAAGTTCTGAAACGATTTTAACATTCATCATTACAACTTTTCCAAATAAAAACAAACACACACACGTCAAGTTATGAATGTTCATGTATTTGATTACCATCCTGATCGACTACTAATTTTAATCGTGCTACTACTTTATCTATCATTCATTGACATAAAGAAACCCTAAATTTGTTTCATTCCTTTTTAACGTCATCTTTCAAGACTCTAAACAAAGGATGTGCGTGGTTTTAAATGCCATCGAATTCCTAGTCGAGACTCCCTAGGAGAATCTCAGGGAATTCTGTCGTGAGTTCTTGTGGGAGTTAAGAGGGGATTCAGGGGCTTCCCAGGAACTTCCTAGGGACTTCCCAGGGAATTGATGAGTATTATCAGGGCCTCTCTAGAAGTCACTATTGGAATTCTCTGAAAAATTCAAATTTATGAAAATTTTATTGAGATTCTCCGGAGAGTTTTAAGGGGAACCTGAGATATGCAACTCCTTCGGGGATTCATGACAGGGATTTTGCATGGATTTCGCATTTTTCAGAGAACGTCCCGGTGATTTCATTGGGGAGAGTCGACTAGGAATATGGTTTTATCAATCAAATTAAATCAATATATGGTGCTGCATAGCTAGTTTAAAAAAACGTTTAGGATATATTATTCATTGTTCTTCATCTATTATCGGCGCCAGAATTCAAGGCACTCGGATGTTTTTTGAATAACTTCCGATAGAAACAAGATAGAGACATGCGATTTTCATCGTTCAAAAGTGGGATGTTCGGGTCATCGATCTATATAAAAACTCATTAAGACGAAAGATGCTTTGTTAAAGGCGTCGTTGCATCAACACTTTTTTCTTCGCGTGTTTTCATCAATTTTCACAATAATTTCAACTCAAATCATATAACAATATAGCTTAAATCATCCTTTTTTCGCTGTAAAATTGTCACATTTTTTTTGAAAATCTGCTTAGAACAAGAGATTGAGGGACAATAGAATATGTGATAATTTTATAGCAAAAAAAAGGGAGATTTGAGCTACGTTTTCATATAATTTAAGCTGAGATTATTGTGAAAATTGATGAAAATACGCGAAGAAAAAAGTGTTGATCCAAAAACACCTATAACAAAACATCTTTTGTCCTAATGAGTTCCATATAGATTGATAACCCGAATATTCTTCTTTCGAAAGGTGAAAACTGCAGGTCTCTATCTTGTTTCTATCGGACGTTATTTAAAAAACATTCTAGTCTCTTGAATTCTTGCGCCACCAATAGTAGTTTCTGAATTTTTGTTCGGAGTTTCGATTATTTCTGTTATCAAGTTTACTATTCTAATAAGTATTTTATCTTGAAAAAAATGAAATCAAATGACTGATATTTAATTATCTTTTCAACAATGTCGACATGTGGCATAGAAAGTATTTTCTTTCATTTGATGGTTAATTAATATTTTTTATTTTATTTAGAAAAAATAAAAGTAAATTTATATTCGTAGATTTTATTTATTGTAATGTAACTTGAAAAGTTCGAATTTGCATAGGATTAAGTGTTACTACTGTACTCTTTAATGAATTCGAATCTAAAATATTATAAACAAATGAATTAATTTACTATGACAAAAAAAAAAATGATTTTTCCTACCTGTTGATTTTGAATAAGATGATTCATTATCGATTGTTTGCCAAACAAGTCGTTTCATATCATTCAATGGTAAATTACCTCCAAGTGTTAATTCAAGTAAATAAATTATTTTACCTAAATTACGAAACAAACTCTGTAAATCGACTTCAACTGATTTGGAATAAGTGTCATCTTCATTCAATTCAAAATAGTGTTCAATTCGTATAAGAAATACTTTTGATGTCAATTGATCAAAAGTCAATAAATGAACATTATATGGTATTGATTCAGTCAAAGCTGACCATGTTTGACGAAAACTATTTGAATAATTATCATAAGATAAATTTGATAATGCATAAGTACTAATCGAATTCATATAAAGATGTTGAGCAATAGGACGATGATAAAGAGCACTATATTCCGGTGGTTCAACAATGAGAAAATGTTTACCACATATTACAAGACCTTTATCATAAGCTGTTTCATTCATTGGTTCACCAACACCTTGTGAATCATCATAGAGTGTACGACGATGAATCATAAGTTCAACAGAACCATCATGCATACTTGAACCACCTTCCGATCGATCTAAATCAAACGAACAAAAAATATGATCAAAAAAAAGTTGTAAAATAAAATTTTATTTATACCTGTAAGTATAGTTATTTGTCGTTTATTATCTTTAATCCAAATACGACTAGCAATAGGATAATAATTTCCACTAACATTTTCATATACTGTATAATTCCATGTTGATCGATAATCTCTTTTTCGTTCTAATACTTCACGTCCATTAGCATCCGTATAAAAAAGTCCATTACTTTGAATATCTGTATCATAACGCATAATTATTTCTTTACCAATATTATCTTCAATTGGTATCGGTCCAACAATCCATTCAATTTCAGCTATTCTTGCACCATCATAGAGTTTTATTTCTTGACTAGCCCAATTATTATATATAATCAATGCTTTTTGCACTTGATTTGTATAAGTACATGTTCTAATAAAAATTAAATAAAATTATTATGACTGAAAAATTTGTCAAACTTTATTTTATACTGACATATTACGTGAATTGCTTACAGGCAATGTATTAGATGTTAATGGTCGGAAGAAATAAGCACCTGATGCTTGAAATTCTGGACTAGAATTATTACCCGGAAAACCTAATATAAGAAAAATATCATGAAAGAATAATAATACATTAAACTAATAATTATTAATATTTACTTGTATACCAATATAAACCTTGAGCAGAAAATAACACAGTAAAATTTCTATTTTGATTAGTAATATTATTTAAATTGCCTTGATCATCAAATTCAATTCGAAGATGCTACATAAAATTAAAATAAAAAACAAAATATAACATTTATTTTTCAATCATGTATTACTTGATTTTGAAGTATACATGCTTCATTATGTGTTACTTTTATTGTAGATTTTTTCTCTATCGTAATGTCAGCTAATGAAAATAAATCATAGATTAAACTGAATAATTGTTATTTTTTTATTTTATTTTTTACTTTTAACTTGAAAATAATAAGTATTAAAACCAAGAGCAGGTATAGGTGCTCGAAATAATAATTCATATTGAGCAGAACTTGTTCGACCAGGAATATTTTTCATTGGTGTAGATATTGGAATAAGCTAAATAATTAAAACAAACAAATAATAATGTTAGTAGAAACGAAATTGTTCAATAAAAATTTACTTCAGCTACAATAAATCCACCAGTTGGATTTCGTATCGTATAATTCTTTGTTACTGGTACACGGATCATATCCTCAATGGGTTGAATAGTTGGATTCCAGATTGTTAATGTAAACTATTGAATATATTCCATTGACAGATGATGTTAACAAAAAAAACCTATGTTTTCACTTACACTATCTTGTCCTTCAATGGGTAAACATTCACTAATATTTGAAAAATGACAGAGAAATTGAGTTGGTACTGGTAATGATTGATTTTCTTTCGATAATAATTTTTTATAAGCTTCATTAATAACATACTAGAATAAAGAAAAAAAAAACACCTCATCATCAATTGCTATATATCAATTTTCTTACAATAACTGAATCAATGCCTTCTGATAAACGTTGAGCATAGTCATTAGCAACATGTTGTTTTTCTGTTCCAGAAACTGCATCATGATGTTGAACAATACCCATTGCTTCATCTATACATGTATATTTATATTTTTTTTTCATTACATAAAAAAAATCTGTTCTTTTTTTCTTCTATTTATACTTAGAGGAAAAATTGCTTGGCGTAATGTACTATTGGAAAATGCATTAAGTTGTCTTGTTACTTGAAGAATATTATTTGAATAACGTTCATATCTTTTCAATGCCGGTCTTGAAGTAAAATATCCAGTCCAAAGACCATGTTGACTAAAGGAAATTGGAAAGAAATCATCTGTCTTCGTTGTCCATGTTTGATTGTCTTTATTTAATGCATATAAATAACAGGTCGGAGTAGAATAGAATAGATTAACATCGCTACCATTCGCTTGCTAAATACAGAATATTCCAATAGCCCGAACGAAAAAAAAAACCGTGGATAGCTCTTCAGCAATTCAAGGTATTTAAGTATTTTTTTTACAATTTGATCACATATTCATTATAGTTTTGAGATAAAATATCTGCATCTAAGAAAGTTAGAATCAAAATAGTTTTACTCATGGTCAAATTTGAATAAGCCAGTATTGTAAAGTGATAACTACAAATTGAATTTAGAAAAAGCACGCTAACTAAATATTGCAGTGATTTTGTGCGACCAGTACTGGCACAAATCGATGATAGTAGAGTAATTATTGAACAAAAAGGTCAGTGACACTTGTAAAAACGAGCCAGGATCAAATGTTCGGTCTATGTAACTTTTCTTTGTAGAAGCGTTTCCAAGTTGTGATATAATTTTCGACAGTACTAGTTTCATAAAACTGCTCAAATGTAGTTCCAATACAGGATTTAATTAGCGTGTTTTTGCTGAATTCGACTTGTGGTTTTCGTTTTACAATAGTAATTGATTCGAGTTTGACTATCAGTAGAATTATTTTAATTCTGACTTCTGTAGACATGGAGTTATTCATGTTTTTTTTTGTCGTTCAAATTTTTGGAGCATTCTGTAGAGTGCAACATATTCTGATATACATCTATGTATTTATAATTACCTGAGCATTGACATATTTAATTAATTTTTCTAAATTTTTAAACCATTCATTCGCATTCTCATAATGAAAGTCACTACCCATTGTCATCATTATATGATTTGTTGTATAACTACGAGCCTAAAAATTACATATACAAATAATTATCAATTTAATGTATATTATTCTCAACTTGAATATGTGCTGCATCGATAAATGCTTGGACTCTTTCAGGTACATTATAATCATACAAGTGTGGATCATCCTATGTATGAGAAAGCTAAATTTTATTGGAGAAAATATAAATGATAAGTTCACTTTAATAGGTTCATCACTACAACGATAATCGAAACAAAATGATTGTGGGGCAGTATAAACTCTTGGTAATATACCAGTAAAAAGCCAACTTTGTGCACCTAAATTAGCACTTCCTTTCCAAATCATTTCCATTCTTTTTGTTCTATTTCGTTCAGCATAATCTTGAAAATCGACTCGACCAAAAAATAATCCATCAAAACCCATCTATAAATTATAATTCATTTGAAAAAAAAAAGGTTTTATTTTAATAAACTAACGTGTGCAAAGAGTGATGCCACTTCTCTTGAATGACCAAATGGATCAATTTGCCAGCCAAGTTTTGGTCGGCCACATTCTCCAAATTGATCACGTAAAAATTCAGCACCTAAACTATGTTGATCAATAATTGAACTATAATGCGTTACACCTTCGTCATTCATTGACCATCCACCAGAAATGAATTCAAGATGACCTATTTTAATGAATATTTTAATATTGATATTTAAATATTATTACATTTATTTACCTTCATTAACAAGTTTTCTTACTGTATTTTGCATATCTTCAGTTTGTTGCATCCACCAACGCCAGAAAAAGGCTATTTCAACATAAATAAAACGACGATCAGGATTCTCAAGTAATGCTTGAATGACTGAATCAAGAATATATTGAACGGCAGCATGTTGAATATCATTACGAGCTAAAATAAAAACAAAAGAATTTTTAATTCGGTATAACAATAAAATTTTACTAACTGCCATAATAGTATTGATCTACGGTTTTCAACCAACCGACATCATCATGAGTGTGTGGAACGATATGAACATTCAATTTATCAGATTGACCTAAATTACATACCTAGAAATGGAGCATATGAATGTATAAATTGAACTTTTTTGTCTATTTTTTTTAGTTAAATGTTGCTTACATCATAGCCACAAGTATTGACTGATTTGAATGGTGCTCCGAGACATCCTGAAATGAAGGCAGCAAATGCAATTGCAATTGCACAATGTATCACTGTGTACATTTTTTATTTTTCAATATAAAATACCAAATTAAGCAACACTAATAATGACCGACAAGCAATATGATATAAGATTTATCTAAAATAGCAAGATATAAATATCAAGATGTATGAGATCTCACCACAAGACTAGATATATTTTGCGTCTTCGATAAAAATGAGAAAAGAAAGATAACAAGATGTTGCTTGAAAATGTTACTACTTTCACTGCAGCTTTTATTTGTGAAGAGGTTATGATGATAAAAACGTGTGTTGCAAACAGCTGCTTACTTGTCTTGAGACAAGAAGGCATGAATACCTATAGCTGCTTTGATTTTTACTTATATGAGATGTTTTATAATTAAATATATCTTATAAATAAAAAATCAAAACAACCATAGATATTCGTGCTCATGAAAAATGACATATTCTAGTTGAAGATAAAAAATACAGTCCAGAATGATTATTCGTGGGTGCCTGCAACTTTTACAGATACTCAGATAGATGTTACTCTGAATCAGTGAAATATTAAAAACAGAAACTATATGTAAGCAGAATCATTTATAATTTTTAATTGGATAATCAAACATGTTAACTTAAGGTTATCATATTTCAATGGTTAGAGATATAAAACTGAATATTCAATAAATGATTATGTTTTTTTAATCTTTTAGTTTTAGCAATAGTTTGATACATTGAATAAGATATCAAAAACTTTTGAATGGGATAATCATTCTATGAATTATATTGTAGTCAATTTTTAAAAATATATACTGTGCTTTTGGTATACTTTCCGTTGTTTCTCCTCGTATTTGTGAAATTGATATATATGTTTTGCAGAACAATAGTCCGTGGAAATTTTTCAGCTCCCACTTACTAGCAACTGGAACAATAAGACAAATGACAATGGTTGATAATCACCCATTAAAATTCCTGAGTAAGTGAAATAAATGTTGATCCTGAAGTGAGATGAGTAGTTAAGCTATGAAAGCAGTTCAATGCAGAAATGAAATTGTTCACCAACTGACGATGGTATTATTCTACAAAGAAAGTTTTGCAAAAAATAAATGGTCATATTGTTGTTATATGTAAGCGATATTGTTAGATCATTAACTTTTTCTTACCAGACAAACTATCCTCAACGCACTAAAAATAGAATGTGTCGGATTCATGTGTCACAAGCTCTACTACAATACTATGTTGCGAATCGAATATATCGTATTTTAAATGTTTCATGATTTGTTTTACCTGTTCAACTATATATATAATCAATAAAGTTGAATATACTGTATTTCTGTATTTTTGAAGGTCTTTTTTTCTGACAAATTTTCTTGAACAGTCACTGATTGAGCATATATCGCACGTTCGATGATCGAGAATGAATTACCTGAAAGCGTTTCAAACGAGATCTAATCGACTCAACAGGACCGAATTTCACGATCACATTCTCTTATGATCAAGGAATAGGTTTGGCTTATTGGAGTTAAACCGGAAATCATTGGTTGGTTTTGTATGAAAAATATTAAAAAGAATGAAAAACAAATTCGAACTGCAAGCTCAGTATGTCTTAAATACATCTCAGAAAATGTATCGTACGTTCGTTTGCAAAAATATTTATAGCACTATGTCAAAACAAAAGTTATATTACCGCACACTAAGGGTTTCATATTCAGATACCAAACTTTCTTAGGCTCTGCAAAAGAAAAATCAGTTCGTACTCTACGTACCAAACTTGTTCAGATTTATGGAAATTCGAGAGTTTTCGTCTTTTTGCTACGAAAGTTTTTGTCGGTTTACAAGACGAAAAAGTTTCGCATTTTCTCTGACGAAACTCTGAATCACTTTGTAGAGAAAAAAATGACTCTATTTGAGTTGTGCTGATGTTTCGATCATGCCACTCAATGATAAAATAAAAAGTTTCATAGTTTATCAACAAAATCCTTTTCAGCTTCATAGAATTAAAAGAGGCTTTCACTATTATATTACTTTCGTTTTTGTGTCCTATGAGAAAAGACAATGGTTGCGTATATTTTCTACGAAATTCTCCTGGACATGCCATAGCTATCAAAGGTTTTTTTCTAAACTTCTTTTACATGAGCGCCATGGCGAAACTATTTCATATGGAACATTCTTCCTTGGCAACATATATGCAAATAATATTTGACGCGTCAAATATCATTTGCATATTTCATAGTTAAAATAATACTTCCGATTATCCATCACTATCATTATCAACTATATTAGTCGAGTCAGTATGATTCGAAGTCATTACATTCAAATCCATCGTGTCAACGTATTAGGCAACGAGAGCTGATCTTATTATCTCTGTTTTTCACCATTCTTCGCTCGTCTCTATATTACATAGTTCAATGTATCTCTTGGATTTTGATCTTATAAAGCGTATATGTCATCAAAAATAATAGAAAACCTCGTTTATTTTCCTGGTAAAAGTCAAACAAACTCAGTTTGAACTTTATGAAATCAATATGCGAAGATTATTATGTTAACTTAATGGAACTTTCTAAGTTTATGCTAAGGTTTCATCACATTTACCCAGTTTTACTATACCTCGAGTTTTGTTGCTCTATATACATCGTTCGATACTGTACTCTAAAAAAATCGTTTTTTTAATAGGAAACCTGAAAAGATTTTTGTATCAAAACTCTTGTGGATCACTGTAATAGAGGTTTCGTAGAAAGGTTTTCATATTGATCCTTACATCTATACCATGCAATCTTTCTACTTATATTTACAATCCATCATCCATATGGTATATAGTAGTAAAATTGCAATGTGATTCAATTCTATCTCGTGACGTTCAAGACATGATTTTAAGCAATATTTTTAACAACATAACTGTTTATTTATTTATTTAATCACAAAGAATATTGTTTTGTTTATTTTATTGATAAATAATTACAAAAGGAAAATTTATACACTATTAGCTATATTCGTAATAATTGTTGTTTATTAGTTAATCCTGTGTTCGCTTGATCTGTATGCAAAAAAAAATGGATTTGAAAAAATAAGATTCATCAGTTTCAAAACGAAAAACAAGTTCTTAAAAAGAGTTATTTCCGACCGTTATCTAATGAATAATTATTCTGTCATGATTATTATCAGTTTTTGCGGATAGTTGGTAAATCAATAGGTTTTTTCCCTTGACGTCAAGCCATATTACACTTTTTTCCAATTTAAGAGTATCATTTGATTGCGTAAGTATGAGTAAAAGCAAACATGCTGATAACAATATCAGTATCACTATTAAAGAACAAGAATCTTCATCTTATAGAGATCTTACACAGGCAAACGACACGCGGTGTGAAGACAACACGAAGATAAGGAAAGTCCAACAAAATATTCATATACACTTAATATACGCATAATAAAAGTTTTCTTTTAACAAATCTTGATTATTAGTCTCAAACGTTCTTCTCCAGCAACAAAGCACAATGACATCCAAGCATCCATATGTATACATGGCCGATCAACAAATCAATCCTTTACTTATTTGTTCTATATGTCAAAATCCATTTGTAGATCCAGTCACAAGTGAAGATCATAGACGAGGTTGTCGAGCTTGTTTCACGGAATATTTATCATCTCAATCGGTGGCAGTAACTCCAATTCAAGAATGGATTGTACTAGAAATGCTCAATAGTCTTCTTGTAGAATGTACCAAATGTAACGAAAACAATATCCGACGAGGTGATCTAAAACAACATGAAGAAAAGTCATGTAGACGAGCCTTTGTACTTTGCAAAGCTGCCGATATAAAATGTCCATGGCAAGGTGTACGTGAAGAATTAGATACACATGTGAAACAATGTGTTTTTGAACCATTAAGACCAGTACTGGCTGAAATAATTATGGAAAATAAACAACTTAAAGAAAAAATAGATCGATTAGAAATATTAATTAAAAAATTCACCGAAAGGAATTAAATGATAACTGAACATTTTCAAAAAAAATTATTATTGTAAAAATTTTGTAAGAATGAATAAAATGAATAAATAGAAAAGACAAATGCTGTTATTGTCTATAAATAATGATTTTTATGTTTTAAACTTTTCTATACACTATCTTAATCAAAAATTGATTAACCCTTTAGGGACGATTGGCCCCCTAAGGGGCCATGGTGATTCTCTAGCATTTCAAAACACACAGATTCCTATATGAGATTAGTTTTCGTGAAAGCATTTATCAGAGAGTTTTTTGGTATAATTTGGATTGTAATTAGGTTATTTTATTCAGATATCCAGTAATGGATAATAAGTTCTTTTAGAATATAGAAATGTTGATTGATTTATGATGAAATATACAGAAAAAAAAACCGTCCCCAAAGGGTTAATATTTGTATCATTCTCAATTTATGCCAATTATTATAGAATATATAATACTTTTTGAATTGAAGACCAATATGTTGAATATGATAGAATAATGTAATCATCTAACGAGAGAAAACAAAAAATCGTTGTCATTTTTTATTCTGATCGCTTTGAACTAACAAGGAAACCGTTCGAAGTGATTCGTCGCTTTTGGTCTCGTATTTTATCCATAAGTAGCAAACCTGTAGACTCGAAAAAGTTCAACACGATATAAGTCCATGCTGTGATTGGGATGCGATAGAGAAGTTTTACTGAAATCTTCCTGTCACTTTGTAAAAAAAGAAATATTTTCGAACAATTCTACGTAGCATAATCGAAATACGAATTTTTCAAAATATTCACGTTTTACACAACACCTATAAAGAAGCGTTTATATTTTGAAAAACTTGTATTTCGGTCGTGCTACGTGGAATAGTTCTGAATTTTTTTTGACAAGTTAATAGGAAGATTTCAGTGAACCTTCTCTACGCCAGTTAAATCACAACATGTGCCCATATCATCTTAGATTTGTCCTAGTCTACAGATCTGCTACCCATGGGTAAAATATGGCGTCAAAAGCAACGAACCACTTTGGACGATTATCTCGTAAGTTATTGATCAATATTGACCATTATAGGATTTTTGGTTTTTGAAAAAACATCTATTGACGATCTAATAGTTTCAAGTAGTCAACTTGACTTTATGTTCGATTGAAAAAGTTTTCGACTTTCAGCTTTAAGAAATAAACGTTTCAAGCTAGTCACCAAACACATCGAAATTTATCATTCTGTCAGATATTTTATAACAGAAAAGAATGAACATATGAATATGCAGTAGGAATAACCATGTTTTGTTTTTCTTTCATTTTGTATGTACAATATTTGTTCAGACTATTATAACTTTATTGGAAGAAAAATGAAAATATGAAAGAAAAATATATGATAATATTTAAGGTGCTATAATTGGTTGGTTACGAGAGATATAAGGTTGATTTATATGAAAAATAAGTTTATGTTTGTCAATACACGAACATTGAACCCCATTCATGTACAACTAAACCACTTTCTGATAAATTTTCAATATTAATAACTTTGTTAATTTCATTTTCCAAGTCGTCCACAGTTGAGATTTCATCATCATTAGTTCCAAATCCAAAGATGAGAAAAGCACGCACTAATTGTTGAGGTAGTGGACGAATGGTTAGCGGAGCTGATTGTGAATATATTTGTGGAGAAAGAAAATGAAATATAACCTTTTCTTTTTCATGTTCAGGATCAGCTTCATCTAGTTGAGGAAGTACATATGTAATGAGATCCTATGAAAATAAAAAATTAAGATGAAAATGATCGTTTTCATTAAAGAACAGTATATAGATATATACTGACATCACGATCTTCAGATGATAGAGTCATTTTTTTCAAAAGATGATTAAGTATTCGACCAAAATCCCGACGTGGAACACATAAATTTTCTTGCTGAATAAAATTGGACGATGAAGTAGTTGTGAAGGCTTCCCAAAATAATATTCGATATTCTTTCTCATCATCAATTAATGGATAAGGTCGATCGATCATATATGTATTCTTTTCATTTTCTTCAAAAATAATTTTTCCATCTGGATAGACATTCATATTATTCCATTGTACAAACCTTTTTCCATCTGTAATTGATGGTTTTGGATAAAGACTCGATAAAATCCACATATGTGGATCAAGTTCAACGGAGATATGAACATGATTAATGACTTGATTATTGATTGATTTTAATCGAATAACAGGTTTACGAAGTCTTAGAATGAGATGCAACGTACTTTCATTTGAAACCTTATAATCAGCTAATGTTCTATTGTCTTCCAGTTGCTTTCCATTTAAAATAAGCCGTTGTTCGTCAGTTGGAATGCCCTCTTTCATTTGTACACGTTCCTTGATTATAGCAATCGTATCCATCTTGATAGATACATTGATAGTAATCATTCTACCAGTCAAAGTTTTAATAAAAACAACTTCTGTCGGTAAAGGTGATGATGGTTTTGGTTCTATACGAAAATGAGAACCATCATTTGCATTTGTAAAAGAATGAGAGAGATCATATGAAACTTGTGCATTTTCTTCTGGTATAATGTGATGAGTATTAGCTTCTTCGGACTGAAGAAGTTCTAATTGAACCATTTTAGAAAAGATATCACCAATAGTAACACGATTAGTAATGCTAAAAAAGATATTCAAATTATGTTTTATATTTTTGATAATAACCGAGTAGTTTTAATAAATTTCTTATAAAATATTGAAATGTTAAATTTTGTACATTATTATATTTGATGGATGTCTTTCATTTAAGACAATTTTATCGAAATTATTTTTAGTAGTAATTCAATCTTTTAAGAAAAAAAAATATCAACCAACTTACTATGCATCATAATTCTTGTTCTGATGTATCAATGTAATGACAAATAATTCAGGTATAGCTGATAAATCTTCGCATGAATCGTCTCGTACATTTCGTAGGTCGATTGTACATTTTGCAAGTTTGTCTGTATTTGTTTGAGCATCAAGTTTTTGCTGAAAAATTTCACCATTGTTAGTACCTACATCATCTGACAACGACATTTTTTATTATTTACGAAAGATGAAACTAATAAAAGTTTGCAATCAACAGCAAAAATATTTATATTAAAAGTCTCAAGACGAAAAGAGAACGAGCAAAAATATATCCTTAGTAAAATGTTGTGCAATACTAGATGATTCATTTTGCATCCATGAGCAATTTTCATCGATATTTTGATAGAATTTATTCATTCAAAGTAATCAACTGTGATTATATTTTCATAGTAGTCTTGTTTATTGACATACATCGAATATCAAACTCTTTCCAAGTATGATGAATAACCACAAAAAATGAATGAATCTTATAAAAAAGAAATATTATAAAAATTCAAATGGATGTTTAGGACATATTAACTTTGTAAACTGAATTTTATTTACATCATACATAGGGTTAGTTATATTAAAGCATATTATTCTAAATTAAAATTTAATGAATTTCTATAATCGAATTATGAATACATAGTGTTAGAAATTAAGTTGAATAATTCAAACGAGAATAGAATAATCATCATACAAAACAAATCTTACATTTAAATTAATCTCATCTGAATAAAATACGTATTTTTAAAATTGATATTGCAACACACATTATAATTGAACTGATAGAAACATTCAGAATATGAATAGCAATTATATAGAAATAGATTATATTTTGAAAGATCATTAATGAAGCTAATATAAGGAAAACATTATACTAAGGCATGCAAAGTAAATTTAATCAATTAAAAAAAACCATCATGTATATAAGAGAAACTGAATTCTAATTAAATTCATAACTCAAATTCATATATTGACAAAACTATGAATTTGTATAATTCACATATGAATAAGCTGATGAAAATCAGCATGTTGACTGTTATCCATGTATATACACATTAAAGTAATCTACATAGAAAAAATGAAGGCTACAATGACTTAACTTTGTTTACTTTGCGTGCTCTCTATTGATTCTAACATCCTGCACTGACTGGATCTCACTCTACCAGAATTCAAGCTATGCATTCATTAAGATAATTCTAGAAGGGTATCCAAAAAAACTATCCTACTACTAATATATTGCAAGTAATTGGTTGAGTATCTTGCTGAAAATTGTCTCAGTACGTGAATACTTAACGATATCTTCATAAGATTTCTGATTGGCTACATGGCAAGTACCCGATGCTCTGCATTGAAAATGCTTCTACAAGTTAGCTAACTAAGCAACTAGAAGTATCTCATTTTCAAATACTGGTAAGTATCTATGATATATTAGTAGCATGATAACCACTCGAATGCTTTTATCTCAGTAGTATTATTACTAGAATGATTATCAGAACTCTATATTCAATGTTGATTATTATAAAAGCAGCGAATAAGTTTGATTGTTTATTAAACAAGTTACAACGAACAACATGTAGTTCCATATACTCGATTTTCACGCCAATTGATATTTGTACAATATTCATCTTTAATCCATAACGATCTATAGTCACATGTTCGACTTATATTTGAATCTTGAACACCTAATAATGATGATGGATGTGTTTCAAGAAAAGGTTGAAATATTTTTTCATCCAAATAATCAATGCTTGTATTGTAGAGACGTAAAAAAACTGGCCGATTACGAAAACGAGTAAGGGACGTTGGTTCGAAACTGGAAGCATTTAGCATCGAACCACCAATATCAATATATAACATATGACTCAAATCATCAACAATTAATGTTGATCGTCTACTTATAGCCAATGAATATTTACCAGTTTTTGTTAGTAAAGGCGAAAAAATTCGTAATGATGTTAAATTTGGTACATTATAAAATGGATATTTACCAATATGATCAAGTGGTTGTAATGTTTGTCTAAAATCAACACCTAGCCATATATATCGAAGTTCAGTATGATTGAATGCATAATCTGGAATGGATTGCAGTTTATCATTTTCCATACTAAAAAATTTTAAATTATGAAATTTTTTTATTATAGTAAATAAGTTGTGACTGTCTGATAAACTTGTATTTAAAGTTCTAAATACTTCAACGTAATTTTCTGTATTATTAAATGCATTAACATCAATTGAATTTAATAATGGATTATGATATAATATAATGTTCGAAAAAGTAATGTTTCCAAAAACATTTTCTGATAGATGATTAATCTGTGTATTATGTAAAAGAAAGTCATTAAATTTCGTAAGATTATCCGATTGTTTATTTGTTGTTAATATAATACTAAGTTTAATAAAAATAGAACGCAAATCTAAGAATGAATTTTCAATATGTTCACATACAATTGATTTTTGACGAATTGGAATCGTTTCTGTTAGAGTTGGATAGAGTACTGTTTGATCATTTGATGAATTACTCTCAATACATAAACATGGTTCCATTAAGAAATTAGATGGGCATTGACTTTGAACAAAAATGAAGTATTGAACAATAATAAATAATAGAATCGAAAATATATATGTGTGATACATATTGAATAGTCTTTTGTTGAAAATAATAATAATAGTAAATACAAAAGAAGTAAAGCAACATCAAAATAAGGATTTAGATGAAGATTACAGATAAATAAATACAGGAATAATATAATGTTAAATAGGCGATTAAAAAAAGTAAAATGTGATTCACAGTTCGACATGATATTTTTTGAAAGGATTAATAATTAAACCAATGGTTTGAGCAATTGATTTTATTCGTAGTCAATATATTTTGAGACACATGTAAACGATTTTAGAGGGTCATCTATAAAGAGCGTTTCGGTAATGAGGAGAGAAGAGTTCGTCAAACTTGAATGGAAGGAGAATGTCAAACATTTCTGGACGTCCAGACACTTAACTTGTATATATTACAGACAACATTAAACTTACGAGGGAACATTCCCAACCGTTACATCGCTTTTGAGTCGAGCGTATGCACATCATGTAGGTCCTAATGATCTATGAATACTCTGAAAAAAGTTCGTACCACTAGCTTATTACTGCCGAGATATTGCATTTTTACTGTATTTATAAGCAAAAGAGCCGTGGTCCCCTCAGGAACACTAGGAAAACTGAGTTTCGAATTTCAACTTGAAACTTTGTACAGGGACAGGTCTCAATGAAAATAGTTTATTGTGAAAGTTTCAGATCTTTTCATTGCTGCTAGTCTGAAATAAGAATATCGGAATCTGCTGGTGTATATAAGCTATTTTACTATAGTTTTATCTTAAGATAGGAACAATGAAAAGATCTGAAACTTTCACAATCAACTATTCTCATTGAGGCCTATCTCTATGTAAAGTTTCAAGTTCAAATTCGAAACTTAGTTTTTCTAGTGTTCCTGCGGAGGCCACAGCTTTTTTTCTTAAACATACAGTAAAATACAATATCTCGGCAGTAATAAGCTAGCGGCATGAACTTTTTTCAGAGTATTCATAGAACATTAAGACCTACATGATGTGCATACGCTCGACTCAAAAACGATGTGATACTTAGGAATGTTTCCTCGTAAGAAGCATATAGTGGAAGGTTAATTTCATATCAATGATGTCGTGAGTGGGCATGGACATGGAGAATGGGTGTGTGGGTTAGGATATGGTTCAATACAAGATCTCAACCATTCCAATACCTAGATCCGTTTGGATTCCTTCACAAAGTATGAATAAGAGAGAGGACTATGCTTATTGTTGAAATTACAATTACAACCAAAGCTTCATGATAAATGTGCTTGGTTCAGTTAGGGACAAGCAAATTCAAGTACCCATTTCATGGCGCTGTCTACAATCGTATTTCAGTAAACATAGGCGACAGGGAATCGGTTTTATGAAATTTCGGTTATTCGCATGTTGGAGAATTCTGATTAGATCGTTGATTATCAAGTCTAGTGTGACGAATTCAGTAAGTGACGTCTTGCAGATGTCGCTTAAACTTGGATTAGAATCCTAGGCAAATCTTGGAATCGACATAGAGAAAGAACAGATGATCATGAAAATGGTCTGAGTCATAAATCTTCGACTTCCTGATTTTTTTCTCATATTTCTTCAAAGTGACTCAAGTTCGGCCCCTCATCTCCTCTTTAAAATCAATAAAGGTTCAATATTTCTAGTATGACTCCATTAATTATAACACTGATTTCTTATCATTTTCCAATGACAGGAGATGTGTTAAGATTGAATTCAGTTTGATGCTCATTTGCTGCAATAAAAGTACAATCGGATCGATCACGAGAGAAAAACAGATAAAGCAGTTAATATGCAGAAAAGTACTATTAGAAGAGTTCGATGTTCTGCAAACCAATGGAAGATGATACATATTTGATAAGCTACCAATTGCTTTGTTTTCTCTGACTTGGATTAATTGATACTCGAAAGTGTAGGGAGGAACGTAAAGATGGATGTGTGATTTTCATGTTGTAATATGAAACGAGCAATTTTCATCAAACTAATCGGGGAAAAAACTCTGGAAGTGTCTACATGGTCCAAAAGATCCTTAAGTATGTTTTTTTGTGCTGAAAGTAAAGCAAATGGACGGGCATCAGACAGATTTAGCAACTTCATAATGATAATCAGATAACATGACAAAGTCGAGTTCTCTTTCAAAGCCATAAGATTGAGAGAACGAAAAGACGTATTCGATCTTCAAAATGTGCGATCAAAGCATTCATATTAACTTTTTTCATACGATGACTGCTCCCCATATCTTGATAAAGGTAGAAGGTAAGTGGCCATGTATTGCAACAATCCGACAATATTCGTTCCGTTTCATGATAATCAGAATTATATTGTTCTCGACAATGGAAACTCTATGTTCAAAGACTCAACATAGGGTTGACAAAGACATGGTAGTGTCGATTTCTACAGTCATCGACCGTTCAACTTGTAGGGACAATATAAAGAAGTGATCGATACAAAAATGTATTGATACATAAAATTCAAAGTCTAGATGATAAAGCCAATCATTAACGAAGAGCAGAATGTTGAAGCAAGACACGGTTGATTATGAACTGTTTGTTCATCCACATTTCTTTTAGCAAAGAAATCCGACGAAGTTTTTCAGGTCTTTGTTGTTTTATGGCACCTTGCCTTCACATCAGTTGGTAATCAATAGTTGTCAAAGCAGTAAAATTGCATTTAAAATACTGCTTTTGTTCTTCATGAAGTGTATTTTTCTGTGACATATTTGGACTGTTGCAGTGCAGTGAATAGAAATGAAATGAGTGATGCAGGCGTTCTGATTAAGTACTATGAACTACTTGTTTCATTAACAAGTCGTTTTACTTTTTCGATTTCTTTAAACAATTTCTCAGCAAAAAATTCATTTCGAAATAAGTGACTATCAACTGTACTCTCAAATGATCGTTGACAAAAGTCTTGTCTTTCTCAAAGTTTTCCATACGGATTACTGATCAGATGTTTGACTATAACAAGAATCCAGAATCTTTTCACCTTGTGAACTGTAATAGATTCACTGTCGTTGTCTAAACTTTCAGGTAACTGGAGGAGTGAAATCTTATTCGCAAACAAAGGCACGCTTCATCTTCTTGTGTAACCACCTGTTCTTCTATGGCAAGCTACTCTTACACCATCAGCAATTTGATACTATTCTCTCACCAGTGAGATTGACTGAAACATCACCCTGGCTTATCTCAAAGTTAACAACGGACCATATTATGCTCTAAAATCATGGAGCAACCCTTATCTTATGTTTAGCATCCCAGTTAATAGAAGAATCAAAGTTAGACATGCATCATTCACAGAAAAAGTTGCTATTTGTCAAAAAATTTCATAGATATCATCTATTTTCTCTTCACTGCTTGAAACATATTGTCACTCAAGCTCGCAGAATATTGACTAACATATAATACGTGTTATACGAAGAATGTCACTGCTTTTTTTGTCGACGGTAGAGAGAGTATCAATTTCAATCATCATTCTTTTTGCTATTTGCACAATACGATATATGATCGTCACCGTTGCACCAATATTTACTGTAGATCAACATGGAGTTTCATCAACCTACAGGATTCTTTGCTTTCAATACATTACCTTGAAACATAAAGAAGAAAAATAGAATGATTCATCGAATATCAATGAGTGAATAAAAGCCAACTATTGACTCTCCTTACATGACTATAAAAAGGAGTCGTGCGCTTGATAGATGCATTAATCAGTACGAATCATGCCTAACGGTACACTCGAAGTAGTCGTTGCGGAAGGACGTCGTCTTAAGGATCAAGATACGTTTGGTAAAAACGATTCCTATGTGGAAGTCTACTTGGACAAAAAGTACAAACAACGGACTACCATCATTTCGAACACGAACGATCCCGTTTGGAACGAACGATTTTCATTCAATATTCATGACGGTGACGATACCATTCATTTTGATGTCTACGATGACGATGTCGGCGACAAAGATGCAATTGGCAAGTGTAAAGTTAAACTGAAACATGTCTTCGACGATGGAAAATATGATGAATGGGTAAAATTACCGGCGATGCTCGGACTGTCATCCAATGGCGAAATACATATCATCATGAGATTTAGAGTGAGTACTGTTCAGACAAAAGCTGTCATCTCTAATCATTGCTTCCTCTCTATTGTAGCCATCCTAATTCACATGATCAACAAAGCAGCCCGATGATGGAAACAATTCTTATCTTACTCGCTTCTAATCTCTAGATGTTATGTTTTCTAATCAAGACTAATAAATAAAACTCGTACAAGGAAAATCAATAGATATCATCAGCTATCTGTTATTGTCAGAGACTGCTGGTCAAAAATATATTGGAGCGCTTGAGAATGTGGGCGTGAATGTAGGTGTGACTAGGTGTGTGAATGTGGATGTGAGTGGGTTAGAGTACTGCAACCCGACCCGACCCGACCCGACCCGACCCGAACCCGCACCCGATCCGCACCCGCGGACGGGTGCGGGTTCAACCCTGTCGGGTCGGGTCGGGTGCGGGTTCAATCCTGTCGGGTCGGGTCGGGCACGGGTTCGATTAGCTGCGGGTCGGGTCGGGTGCGGGTTTGATGTTGAAAATTTCGGATTTTTTTCGGGTTACATTTTTTTCGCGATAGATGCATCTGCCCTCTATTATTGTATACGTTAAATACAAAGAGACGACGATGATAATGAATCTCAGGATGAAGTAGCTCATTATATTAAAGCAAAAATATCGTATCCTAAAGGAGAATCCCTCTTAAGATGGTGGCAAAGTCATTCTATTATATACAAGAAGTAAGTTGCCTTATTACTATAACATATGTCCATATGTCTACAGGAGAAGTACACCGAACTAGTATAAAACTTGATTCTCTTTAAGTTATCTTTATTGGCATGTTCTCTTTTGGCAATACCTGCAAGTTCTGCTGCGTCTGAACGAATCTTTAGTCGAGCAGGGCGCATTCTTGAAGCTCGACGTCAACAACTATCACCTGAATCACTCGATTCACTTCTTTTTTTAAGAAACTTTTAATTTGTTTTTGTATAAATTTAAATTATGCCGTATATATTTGTATGATACCTATTGTCTTCACTGTTGATTATAGCTATTTACAATATACATTAAAGTTTTTTGTTATTTTTTGTGGTTAACATTGAAATAAAGTTGTTTATCTTTTGGAAATAAGCGAATTTAGTTTCTCGGGTCGGGTCGGGTTCGGGTTCGACTATCGGCGGGTCGGGTCGGGCTCGGGTTGAATCTTGTCGGGTCGGGTCGGGCTCGGGTTGAACCTTGTCGGGTCGGGTCGGGCTCGGGTAGAACCTTGTCGGGTCGGGTCGGGCTCGGGTCCCACTAGAGGCCTTCGGGTCGGGTGCGGGTGCTAAAAGTCAAACCCGCGCAGTACTCTAGAGTGGGTGCGTGTGAGTAAGTGATGCAATGGGTCTTCTTTTCATCGTCACTGCCACTTTCACTCAATTACCAACACATCAGATCACATCCACACCCACACCCTCTGAAGCCATCTGATATCGGATCAAATCTTTTTTAATAGGATCCATAGGCCAGATTGAATCATTTGGAAACAAAGATAATACCGAGCGTTCTTCGATGCCTATAGATGAACTCAAATTACTAACAGATAAGTTGAAGAAGAGTGAATATTCTAATATCATATGTGTCAGTTATTTCAAAGCAAAAGTAAACCAAAATCATTAAGGAAGACTTCCAATATTTTCATACTTCTTGACTGAGACATTTAAAACGTGTCAAAATTTGTTGATAGTAAGTTGAATAAGACTTTATTTTTAAAAAAGATAATATAATAATTATTCATCAATAATGAAAAGTACTTTTTTTTAATGTTTTGTGTTATTTGAATGCATAAGTTTAGTTTAACTTGTTGGTTTGTCAACGTGAGGAGCGTAACGTGGACGTGATCTAATCAAAGAAAAATAAATGAGTTTGGATTTGTAGTATTTTTTAAACAGACCTTTTTTTATTCTTCGCTGTTGCCTGATTGTCTTCGGGTTGTGGTTTTGGTTGATAAACTATGGGGGAAACCTTTTCATCTTTGTTTGAAAATTCTTTACGGTTTTCCATAGCTTTAGCTTCTGGGCAGTCATGAATGTTTCCTTCTATATGAGAATAAAATCTACTATTTATATGAGTAGTAATATCTATTGACGATTACTGTCTATTCCAGAAGCATTCAAGTTCTTTCCTTTTGAATGAAATATATTTACTTGAAGACGTGTATTCCATTGTGGAATATGTTTACCTGTGCGCAGAAAAGAAAAAACTACTTCACATATTTGAAAGATACTATATACCATTGTATTCCGCAACTGCAGCAGCGGCCGATTCCTTGTTGACATAGGTTACTTTTGCGTTACACCAGCCGTTCTTCTTGTTTGGATGTTTAAAAATAAATATTTCAGTTTTCTGATTATTTGGATTGTACTAGAAAATATCGAAATATTGGATAATACGTAAACACGTTTTCATATTCAGCTTAGTGATGCGACTAATCTTTGGATGTACTATATGTCACGTCAAACTGTACCCAAATAACTGGATAGATTAGATCATGTGCATTGGATGAGACAAATACAAGTAATAGTTGATTTTATAGGAAAATCTTCTGGCGAAGGGATGAGCAGAACTAATCTTCTACCTATTTCAAATTTTAATCATGTTTAAACGCATCCTGTTCACTCATTGTGTAGTATGTTTGATATAAATTGTGAGAATCTAAAATTTCTTATGTATGTATAATAATGATAAGTGTACCTTGATACGTCCAACTTTTGAAAATAGATCAAATATATCATTAAATTTGACGATAGCAGGTAAATATCTGATATATATGGCATCTTCCGCATTGTGATTGGTATCATCAACGGGTGAATCTGAAACTGATGAAGCGTCACTTTCATCGTTCGGTTCATTTGTCGCTGCTAAACAAACAGTAATCGTACATGACCAACGCTTGCTTTAAAAATTCACAAAAATATTTACTTACTCTTTTGTAACTGATACATCTTTTGTGTCAGTTCCTTAATTTCTTTGTCATGTTGTTGAACATGATCGATAAGTTGTCGATTTTCAGCAATTAGTGAAGCTAATACTGGTCGCAATGGTTCAAAAATACATGTCGTATTATGATTCTGTAATTCATCACGTGGTCCTTCCCAAGGACATTTAATGTCAGCAGCTTTACATTGAACTACTGATTTTGGACAAACCTTGTTAATATGGTCCACAAAGTTTCCACGTTGTAAACCAGTTTGTGCACATAATATGCACTGAACACGAAGTTGATCAAGTATATTCCGCAAGGGACGACTGGCTTGGGTGAGTTCATTGATCGATAAGGGCTTCTTAACACACATAGGACATGAACAATTGTTACTCTGATTAAGCCATTGTGTGATGCATGCGCGACCATATGTATGGTCGCATGGTGTACAAACTGGATCCTTAAGAGGCTTATGACAAATACTGCATATTAAATTTCGGTCAATGGACTGCTCATCCATGTATTCCATAAATTCAAATTCACAACCGTCTGTCATTAGTAATTGGAAAACAATATCTATAAATAATCTGCATTGATTTTTTAAAAACAGCTATTATTTATGGCATGTAATAGTCATTAGTTTTAGAGATGTATTAAAGTATTTTTTTAAAATGTAGCAGATTTGCGTAATTAATTAAAGAGTATCGCACTAATGAGGGAACATATTTGAGTGTCCTCCCCTGAGAATGAGTTCGAATGCATTCTATGTATTGGAAACCTCGATGAATATTTCGAATATTAATATCGTAGCTGTCCCCATTCAGGTCTCGAAAAATTAGAGTATCAAACTTTTTCATTGTTAGGCTCTCTCTTACTAGTAGATGTATTTTGTTCTTTTTCGCTTTTTTGTTAAATTTACAAGAACAAGCAGTTTTCTTTGTGAGAAGACAACTTGAAATAAACATAAGTCGATATGAAGACGCTATCTCGTTATCATAAGTGAACATATCACAACTATGTTTCTCAAGTAAATACTCATCTGATCGATTACTTATCGTTTTTGATAATATAGGAAAGCAGTAGATATCAGAGCCCGAATCGAACCGACTTTTGTTGGTTCGAGTTCGGTTCGGTTCGTCTTCATTTTTTAAAACTTGGTTCGGGTCCGGTTCGGTTCGTCCTCATTTTCTAAAACTTGGTTCGGGTTCGGTTCGGTTCGCCTTTTTTTTCTAAAAGCCGGTTCGAGTTCGGTTCGGTTCGGCTTTGTTTTCTAAAAGACGGTTCGGGTTCGGTTCGGTTCTATCTAACCCAGATTTCATTTACTGTCTACAAGAAAAGCTTCTAAATTCCATTGTATTCGTGTGTCACGACTGTGTTGTAAAATAACTTGTCCTATGTACAAATAGTAATTCCCCTCTGAACTACAGTAACTTTTTATCCGGAAAGCCCATATCCGTTCTCTTCCAACATATCGCTGAGACACATTTTCTTTGATTTAGCATAATTTTATAATTTACATTATCATTCTTTAGTAGTAATTTAATAGACTCCAACGTGCAGTTTGAAGGCGAGTTTATGACAGATTCTGAGATAAATTTCGATTGGCAAATGAGAAATTGATGAGTTAAAGGATGCCATTTTGATAATAAGTTGAAGTGAGTAGTTTATGAGAACAGGAATATGCAGTAACCTCAAGATATGAATGAAGAAAAGATGATGATATGTCAATTATTTTAGAAAAAACACTGTTGTCAATTAGACGAGCATCCGTCCGTCCTTTGCAGCATGAAACAATGGAACAAATAGGAAAAATAAATTAAAAATTTCCACCGCGTATAAGTGACCAATCGTCATGGATACATTGTCTGTAATTATTACGAAGAGAAAACAATACGATGTATGGAAATTAAATTAACTATGTGGAATGATCGGTCGAAGGTCGCTCAATCATTGTTAACAACATATTTTTCAAGAAATAGATGATAGTTCAACCGATACTAGTTCGGTTCGGTTCGACTGCGTTTCCAAAAAGGCGGTTCGAGTTCGGTTCGGTTCGACTGCGTTTTCAAAAAAGCGGTTCGAGTTCGGTTCGGATCGACTCGAACCGAACCGAACCGTCTTAGTTCGGTTCGAGTTCGGTTCGTTTTCGGGCTCTGGTAGATATAAATAGCTAAGTTGGAAAAATAGATGTGACATGTTCACTTATGAAAACAAGGTAGCGCCTTCATATCGACTTATGTTCATTTCAAGTTGTCTTCTCACAAAGAAAACTGCTTGTTATTGTAAATTTAACAAAAAAGCGAAAAAGAGCATGACACATCTACCAGTAAGAAAGAGCCTAAAAATGAAAAAGTTTGGTACTCTAATTTTTCGAGACCTAAATGGGGACAGCTAAGATATTAATATTCGAGATATTCATCGAGATCTCTAACACATAGAATGCATTCGAACTCATTCTTAGGGAAGACACTGAAATATGTTCCCTCGTGAGAGTAAGACAATAGCAGCCAGTATCCAAGCGAACAGAAAAAAAGAAAAAGCGAGTGAAAACGCTATAGTGATTTCGACCATTTTCGGTTTCTCATCACGATTTCCGATGGTCAGCCAAAAACATTTAAAAAAGTACAGTGTGACAACGAATACTTCTTACACGGGATAAAATTTTGGACAGGTTATGTGTTACAAATTCTTAGCCATTTTGAGATCTACTTACTATAAGCATTGCTGACTCACAATTAAGAACCACGATTAGCATCCTAAAATGCCCAGATTTTCCGTGTATTGGCAAGTTCCTTTATTTTTAGTCTAGTTTCATGCCTTTCCTGTTTCCAACCGGCTATCCGATAGGCACTTCGACATGTCGATTTAAGATTGCCATGAACATCGAAATTTCAAACGTACCCTCCGATTCTCACTTTCCGATGAGTCGAGAGCTTGGCGATAGGTCAGTAAAACGCTGAGTTTTTGACCAGCCGAACGATTTTTACTGAGAGAATCAAAATTTGATCAAAATAAAAAGGATTTTTTTCCTATAGTATGCCTTATTCTCGAGACGTCAAAATCTATCGATATAAACGCGGAGAAGATTCGAACATGGGTACTTACAATTAATATTCGTCGAACATCTAAACTAAATATGAACTATTGTTCTTCGATCAAAGTTATCTTTTCAATTCTTAGAAGGATAACAGTTTCAAGATTGTTATTTTAACACTTGCTAATAGTTCTTTAAAATAAAATAAAAAATTTTTTAATCGAATAAAAACATCTGTTGCATGTCTCTAAATAGAGAAAACATTTCTTTCGAGTCTCTAATGCCATCTACGGAGTTTATTTGATAAATAGTTGATATAGGTGATAAAATATAAAATCAATATTAAAAAAAAATTTTCAAACATTCAAAACACAAAACTCGTTATGGCTATGTTTTTCGTCAAAAACGTTTATGGATTCGGATCTTACTTGTTATTTTTCATCATTTAATGTTAAATATTTTTTAGAAAATTATGCAATTAAACAAAATATATGTTGAATATAATTCATCCTACTAAGGTAGCTGAATGGAAGAAACATTTGTAAATTACTTTTGGAATGAGTTTCATGAAATCAAAATTAACCACACCACTTGAATCTGTTATTCCGTTAGACCTGCTTCTATTGGACCACCTAATATTATTCTTTCGATATGTTTCTTTTCTCGAGTATTCAAAACTTCGATGAGTATCGAGGGATCTTAAAGTGCTTGAGAAGTCCAAAATGAATATCCAATAGAATACAGTTTTCGAGTGGTCGGAGTCCGATTACTACTAATAGGATCCAAATCAAGAACGAACAAAAAATATATATTTCAAATTTTCGAGCGCTCGTCGCATCCATCGTATGCTTCTTAAAGTCTGCTTGGATTATGCTTTCTCATGAATTTCTTGTCCGTGTCAGTGATTCACAGAATATTAATAATTGGTACGCAGATAGATAGATATGTCTCTTTATCCATTAACTTACTGCAAAGCTATCTAGCAATCAGCCTACCTCACTAATTATCTATCTACGTATCTAACTACCTATAGAACTACCTATCTATCTAACTAGCGTACTTCACTAACTGCGTCCTATCTACTTATCTACATCACTGCTTATCTATCGATCTAATCACCTACTTAAATCCCTAAACAAAAGCCTTTCTCTCTTTTAAACTGTATTGCATCTCTTTGGTTCCTAATGAATGTTCATTACAGAGTGTCTCAAGTATTTGATTTCAGTATAGTTAAGACTGATTAGAATTTGCTTCGACAGAGAATGTATGTCTTTCAACACTAAGCGAGTATTTTCGCAGATTTCTTAATGATTTGATTATATCTATTTTGGATTTGCTAATGTTTTAACTGTTTTGAGCTTATTTAAATCTGTGTCATCGACTGTACATTGTCGATTGGTCATTGAGTCAGTAGCGAAGAGGATTTCATAGGTAAGAAAAGTAGTAATACGATTAGCAGACCACTAGCAGAAATAATAAGATAAAGAAGAATTCTTCAAAGCTACTCATTTGTGGTAATGATTAATGCCATTGAAAGATGTACATTCTTCATTGAAGTAAAACATGATAAGTCATGTGCTATAATAAAATGAAGTGCTTAAACCGTTCTTACAATAAATACTCAGTTGATACCAAACAGATGCAATATAGAAAAAAATAGGTAGTAAAGTGTAAAACATGGTATAGATACTTGTGCTTTACATAGAAAAATGATTTCATCAGATAACTGGTATTAGTATTATGTCTTTATGGCGTGTATTATGTTGTTTAAGTATCATATTTTTGGTCTTTGATAACAACAGATATATATAATGAACTCATTCGAGTTCAATATATTATTTCAAGTTGACTTGAAATTCTTGGCTATATCTGTAACGGTATGTGAGGAATTCAAATGTCTGTCTCTATACTTCAATGCTAATTTTAGATCGTGTTTTACAAAAGGGAGAAGAGAAGACTTGCAGTCTGAGATGGAGCTAACTATCAATCTATCTAATTACCCACCCTCTTAATCTATTACTATTAAAAAAAAAGATGAAATGAAAAAAGATTTCTTATTCCATTCTGGATATTAATATTTGACTTTGTCACATGTGAATGTTACACCTGCATCATTATTCTCAAATATTTTTTTGTCCTTTCTTCTGTCCTCTATCATCACAAACATTAATAAAAGAAAAAATTTAGTCACGTATGAAGATAGGTACGTGCATGAGAAAAGCATCCATATGTATGATAGTAGAGAAGAAAAATAAATCGAGAGAGTAATAAAGCATAGAGAGTGCAGACAGAAAGTTACAGAACATATGGTGACAGAGGAAGGTCATGTAAATCAGTGTTGACTATGCTCGATAGCAGAAGTATTTACGATTTTACCTCACAGCTTTCATTACTTATATAAATCTACAATAATAAAGTAAATAAGACAGGAAAACAAAAAAAAATGATAGTTTGCTACTTTTTTTGATATTATTTCTCCTTATCGGAATACAAAAACAAATAACTGACACAGTAAAGAATTT